CGTACAGGCCTGATTTTTTTCAGGTCTGATTTTCACTATTGCATAAAAGCGCTCTCTACTGCGAAGATCGTGCATCATACGTATCTAATACCGCAGTTCAAATATATGAACTTCATATATTCATTGTAACCAAAATATGAACAATCAGAAAAGTAAAATGCCAATAATTTCAACAATCTAATCAGGGCCCCAAGTTTATAAAGAGTGCAATTTTGTGTGACTTTTTCAGGCTGATTTTTCATAACCAATGTCCTAAGACCCATGGATGGTTGGTCAAGACAGCAATGTTTTCCCCTTTATTCAGCCGAAACAAAGTGTTGCTGGGTCTTTCCTGAGGATCATTTCTTTTGCTTCAAATATTGTCACACAAAAAATTTAATTATCAACACAGCAGTTTGTCATGGTGGAACTACTCATTAGAGTACAGTCACCACTTAGTTTGGCCACTAATAAAGGTACATTCCCCAGGGCTCAAACAATAGCCCTGCAATTTACTTAGAAGTTTTGCCGTAACATTTATATGAGGCTAGCATTTGATCAGCATACCATATTTGGTCAAAGAAAAAGCAAATAATTGCTATGTTAATAATGATGATCAAGTTCTCCACTTGTGGTACTACTTTCTGAGGAATGTTAATTCCTTTCCTATGTAAATGTGTCCACCATAGAATACATATCTCAACAAATGTGCATGAAAGAATGAAATTGCATGCATATCTAACCATGAAACAAATTACCTCTTGTAGGTAAAAGACACGGTGACAAGATTGGGTAAGAGTTTTAATATCCCTTGCAAGTCCTGAAATGATTTGATAGCCCCCTTCCCTGTTTCACATCTGTTAGCAAATTTTAAGGAATTAAGCTAATAACTGCAGACATTTTTAAAGTGCAAGATAGTACTTTCCACAGATCGTTTTTTCCAGAGTTTAGTTTAAAATGCCAAAAACAAGGGCTGATGTCTACCCCCTCCTTTAGTATATGCATTCTTTTAAAATAAGAAACTGGTATCTCAGAAATGTCCCAGATAAAGTTCTCTATTGTTTTATCAAAAGGACAAATATTTCCAAGGTGTAACTTGGAAGTGGTCTGAAGCAAAAAGGCAACTACAGAATTCGGAAGAACCCACTCTAGTTTGACAAATAAATAATAAAGGGTCACTTATTAACATCTCGCTGAGTCACAATATAATATTTACCTACTGTGGTATTCCAAGTAGCACTAGTGTACCAAAGATCAAAATAAGAATATACGCTTTCTGAAGTCTCCTTAGTGGGCAGTCCTTGGAAAGCATCGTAAGGTACAAAAACCAAGTGCCCAGGGGCTATTTTGAGTGACCAAACCGTCATTAAACACCAATGACCCTTACACACATTGAATGAAAATTTCATTATAAACCCGAGGGTATTTAGACGACCAGAATCAATTGAGCTTTCTTTCACCTTGATTGGTACCTACCATACAATCCTCGTGCAAGTCACGAATGAAGTTCATTTACACAGACGTCAGAGAGTATCCCAGAAAGCGAGAGGGAATTACGAAAGATCTCGCATGCTAACAAAATCCTGTATCAATTGATTCGCAAAGACTAACACGCTTGGTAGCCTCGCAGTATACAAAAAAAAACCAATCCATTTATTCTATTTCTCATTCCCAGGTCGCTCTCAGCCTTCTTGGTCTACTTGAGGTGTAGACAGCAACCTTGCACCCCCCACCCCCTCGCCGTCTCTCCAAAAGAAAAGATGATAACTGAGGCGAAAAGCTTCCATATGCAAGTAAACCGCTGCTAAAGGAACCCATCCGCCTGGAGGTCTTGGCGTATTCGGGTGCAATCTTAACAACTTGAATCCCTGCAGAGATGCAAAACGGAACAAAATTTTGACAATGTTTAATCCCAAAAATGGTTCTTTTGGCCTTACATCGATTCCGCAAAGAAGTGTTTTCTCTTGTTTTTTTAAATAGGCTACTTTGAATTAGACATCTTGATTAGGCTACCCAAAGAGCAAGTTCTAGAAGAGTCGATCAGCACGCGGCTTGAATTTCCAAGATATTCTTATATTATCGTGACGGAAGGCTGACACCGGTCTAATACGAGCGTAATATTTAAATTGTCTTCTGTTTAGAGTTCAAGTGAGGAAAGAGGAACCATATTGGCAGTATACTGCGTATCTTGGCAGATCAGCCAGCAAAATGTTTTCGCATGGATCAGTTTCTTAGGGATCTGTTCTTTATCTTGACACAGAACTTAGATTCCCTTCTCATAGAAGAATTTTTCTTAACTTACCAAGAAAAGTTCCTAAGCCGTCCACGACTTATTGCGGATTTTTTATGTATTTTACTTTGTTTAGAAAAATAAACACTTATGCTGTGTAAAGATCAACGAATACACGTGATCAGTGATGATCCAACGTCACAATTACCTGTGACGTTGTATTGATTTTGCTTTACCGTGCCATGCGATTGGTTAAGAAAACTGGCTCCATGCTTTCAACCAATCAAGACTAAAGGGATTCGTGATCTTTCCATTGTTGTTTTCCGTGCTTTTTTGCGTTTGTGTATCATTGTTCATTTTACGGTCTTGTTTTTCCACGTGATATTCTGCTGTATTCTTACTGGCCATCTCAATTACGCTGATTTTGGTTTTAAGGTACGACAGCCAATTGAAAACCTAATTGACACAGCAAAGTTATCCCCTTGACCGCAGCTGATTGACGGAAATTCTCCACATAGTGCTGACTGTATAAATAAACAAGATCTAACCAGAAAAAATCCAGAATCAACTTCGGTGGATAGTTATTACAGCTCAGCACTGTTGTGGCTTCTCTCTGTGCAACGAATTCATCCTGAGAACTTCTGATTCAAACGTGAGTTTGCAAATTTGATTTAAACTATTAGTGAGAATTTCTTTTTTACATATTCTAGTGTTTTTCCCGTTTTCTTGGAATTGGGAAACGTTGTAGCAGTTGTGATCGTAAGCAGACCACAGCAATGGTGTTTTCATCGGCATGTTCAATATTTTGTTGTGGGTTATCCACATTGATCCAGTATCTATCCAGATAGAATAGCAATACTTTAAATTACATGCAACAGACATTAAGACGATAAGCTTTTAGCTCTGGCGTAGCCTTGAAAACCTGATACTCATAGACGACTCGAGTAAGACACCGTCATTAGTGAGACCTAATCTAGCACAGGCTTTCCTGCTTTCTTCTTTTGTCGTTGATTGTTTATTTGCTGGTTGCTAGATCTGTTCTTCAGCCTTGACGGTTTCAATGATATAGCCAAAGTTACAAACCCTGGCCTTCGCCCATCATATTTGTGACAAGTGGCGCATAAGGCCTTGCACCGACGCACAATCACATCCACACCTACCCACACGAAAGCAATCGACCACTCAACCCTGAATTTGATATTTTCTAACCCCAGTTCAGCGTTAATCGGCTATTTGACTTCTTATGCCGACTTATCTTGGAGGTTGGAAAATTGATCCACAAAATTACTTCATCGAACGTCTAAAGCGGTTCGAAAGAGCCTTGATTCATTAAAATTTGGTACGCTAGCTATGGATCTATGTTTATCGTTCTGTTGCCAAATGGGCCGGCTCTAAATTTTACAGCACAGTAGCAGAGTTCTATTATCTATTTTAAGACAACACCGAGGGTCAGTTTTTCTGATATTACCATTGGTATGATCTGATTCGAGAATATTTGTACGTTATTTTTTTTCCGCCTGAATTCACGTGGGAGATACACGTGGGAAAAAAGCTCAGTTTGTGACAAAATTATGTAATGTCCTCAAGTGCAGTAAATTCCAGGAGCTAAACTAGATATTAGTTAAAGGCCATTTGTATTTCTGACTCTCACAAAAGAGCTCACGGAGTTAGTAATTTTTTTAATTGGCTCTATGTTCCGATTTCTTTTTAACATACGTGAGATGAATGGCTAATATCTTTAATGAACAAACTCAAATATTTACAAAAAAATTCAATTTCTATGGAAATATTAATATTGTCAACTTTATTAAAGTTTTTCTGTTTTCATTGGCAGCTTCTTTCAGTTACTTGGTAAAACTGAATTTCTGTTTCGAGTATTTCATTACTTTCCTATCGTTTCCAATAACAATTCCTTTTAGCATTATGGTGTTTTTCTTCTCTGTAATTCCCTTGATTACAAATCACGGGGTTGAGCGGAACTTTTAACCAGTTTCATTATTCGTCCGTTTTACTGATGAGTTTGAATTCTCTCTCACTAAATTTTCCAGGAATAGCGTTTAAACTGTTCGAATTATTCTTCTCTTGCTATTTTTACCTTTTAGCTAGCGTTAAAACCAATTCCAAGACCTGCTGACAACATCTTATATTAGGAACCCTTAAGAGTTTTGTGCGGGAATACTGCGCAGAGTCAGTAGTTGTCCCGTTGTGTAATTCGTCCGTCCTGTCCGGTTCCTGATTTTTTTCACACCGTCTCTGCTGCCATTTCTACTTACTTTTTAGCAACATATCTAACCTTTCGCCCTCATTAATTTCCGAAAAGCAAAATTTATTGAGTTATATTCGTCGATTTTTTTATTGTGATGAGATCATTAGAATGAAGAGGCCATCACTTGTCTCAACAACATAATGGCCGCCGACTCAGAGGCAGTTCTGTCTATTGTTTGTCTAAAACCTAAAGTCCCACATGTCTTATAGATAAAACTGAGTTTTATGAGATAGACACTTTAGTCACTTGTGGTTTCAACTGGAAAAAATCCCGAACACCAGTAAAACACACAACGAATAACAAAAAATTCATTGTGATTTGACGACTAAAAGTGGAAAGCTGGTGATCCTAACATCCTGTCGGGTCAGTGTCAACAGTTTTTTTTTTTTTTTTTTTACTTTGGATGACGGTAAGTATAACAATTCGCCGAAACTTTCAAGTCACAATTTGGAAGACCACAGATTAAAAAAATGTTATCAGTTTAAATTCTAGAAATTAAGAAAACTCAACTTTTCTGTAACTGTACTATGCGATAGTTGAATAAGTCAAAAAATTCGTTTTCTACCTAATTATTGTACTGAAAGCAGATAAGATTCAAAGCCTCTTGAACTGATTGCTCTTGGATTAGGTGGTTTATTAATATTTCGCCTTTTCCGTCCAGTTGACAAAGCTTGGATGACTTTAAAATCCTGGGGAAAAACATTTTTAATCAGACACAGATCGACAAAATAAAGTCAAAGTCTCATAAACTGTATGGTTACGTAACCACTGCCGGTTCATGTTCAGTTGGAAAAAACAGTAATTAGGAATATTAGCCAGGAGTGCATTGATTGATGAGGTCATCTGATGTTGACTCACCGAAAATTGCTGCCCAGTGATCCAGAGCGGCAATGACTGGTAGTCTTTCCTTTAGAGAATTTTGCCATTCATTGCTTGAAAGTGTGTATCTTATCAAAGGTTATTTTCACTTTTAGTCGAAATTTTTTAAGAACGAGATACTAACTCGTTCAGTTCTTTGACTCGAAAAGTTCTGTAAGCAAAGGTCATCATCCTTAATGTTAAAAAATTATCAGTTCGGTTCCAAAGTCCAATGACGAAAATAATGTAAGTAATATTGCAACAATAAGAATGCCCCAACCTATGTCTCCTCTAAAGACGTCAACGAGATACGTGACAATGGGGAAGTACGTTGATTTCCTAACCAAGGAGGTGTGACGCACAATATTTTTATAGTTCACCTCCTAAATCTCAAAATCCTGACTCGGCTCAATTCAACATTCGCCACTTGAGTTCACAGACCAAATTTCTGACGATATTCAAATGTTCACCCTTTTCAACATCACCAGTCAGCCATTGAAACAGATGGCAAAAGCTTGTTAGGGCTAGACAACATTTTGTTTCGATTTCCTCTCGAAGGGAAATCTATGCCATTGAAGCATTTTCTGATGTATCAGGATTACTATTTACATCGTTAAGGGAAAACGCTGAGCAAGTTACGGGAAGTTGCGGAAGCTGAGGTTCAGTGGCAAAGTTGACTTACGGAAGACGATACTTAAACGATTCAAGTTTCTAAGGAAGTGAAGTTTTCGAAGTACAACTGGAGGCATAAATGTATCGTAGTCGGGAACGAGGCAGAAAGAACCGAAGTATTCGCAATAGTTCATTATCCTTAATATAATGGCTAGACCATGCTAACCTTCTGTTCAAGTTCACTTGTCAACAAAACAAAACAAGTTATGGCGCTGGTATCGATATTTTGTTTTCAAGGGCAGGATATCTCAAAATATATATTACCACAGCTGCCTTTTAAGTATTCCCACCTTTGTGACAGCCTTACATGGTCAAAGTCAAACAAACCGGTAATGATCAACAAAAGCGTTGTGGAGGTGTATGAAGGATCAAACAAATGAAAAAGCAAACTAAAAGATAAAATACTTCATTGCCGTCGTGGATAAATTTAACACCAACGCGGACAATATCAGAGAAGTTGAAACGTTTACAAAAAATATAGTGTTTGAGACCAGAGCCACATAATGGCAACCAGAGAGACAGCCTATGATTTTGTGAAGTACCACTTGACGCCGCTAAGTGTTTTGATGACTGCGGAAATGATCTTTGATATACGCCCACTGGTCAGCAAGTATTTCTCATACAAGATGATCAATCAGCTATGCTCCCCTCTAGATATCTTAGCTGAGCTCCGGGTGTATTTTTGCAACCTTCACTTTTGACCTCGCTACTCACGTAAGCTTTTTCCAACACTGTGAAATCTTAACCAGTTTAGGAAAGAGGACGCATTTAATTCATGAGATGATCGGCATGACAAACCACTTTCAAGATATTTACCTAATAGGGTTCATCGACTCAAGTGGGTCATTTATAAACGCAACGTATGTACTGAAACGCTGGTGAGATTCGACCTTAAAACGACAGGTTTGACTTTAGATAATGTGTCAGCAAAGAAATGTTTTGGTAACTTGAAATTTACATTGAATTTTACTGAATTATCAAGATGTATTTCAGAGTTTCACTTGCTGTGGTAACTGATGAAAAAACAGTGGCACCTAACCGCAGATCAATATCCGATATAGACTTAAAGCAATCAAATTTAACAAATATACAAAGAATTCTAAAATAGTGCTTTATGACTTAAAGAGTGTAAATGCAGCCTCTTCAAATGGCAAAATAACACGTTTATCGCCTTAATTGCCCTCTTTTTATTGTTCTAACCAGGCACATTATAACAATATTGTCTGTAATCCAAAGTTTCTCCAAGCTTTTGAAGAAATTGAACTTACTTTGAGAAAAAAAAAAAAAAAAGGTGAAATAAACGAGGCCATGGAAACATTTTTTCACTGGCAGTAGTTGTTGTCGAGTGTCGAATTTAGCCAGAGGTCACACTCTCCTACAACACACAAATGTGTCTGAGCGCAAAACATTTGTCTATTGAATTGAAAATATTATTCCTTTTTTGGCCAGTTTTATTTTAATCGCAAACATAAGAGCTATATCTCAAGAAAAGTTTACCTGTGACCGGGAACTCTTCGCTGAATTAAAAAAAAACAAACCTCAGCTTAATGACGAAGAAAAAACAAAAATAGATGGCTAACAACGCATATTAGAATCGTGTTGATTACACAATATTGCACACCAAAATAGGTAGATTATTTTCTAGAACAATGCGTAATTAATTGGGCAGCCAATCAGATTGTTGCGATTGTTCAAGAGTCTTCTGGCATGATATATAAACGGCCGCCCCACCAATCTTTCTTTCATTCGTTGAGCAGGAGAGGTTCGGCACTGTCAAGGTAAGCTTTTCTTCAGTCTAATTTTTTCCGTCCTAAATGTTGACTTTACCAAGCTTGATAGCAGAACACCCTTATTGATTGGCCCTCTCTGAGCATCTGGTCAAACAGTAAGCATTAATTAACTACATAAGCAAACAGTAATTAGAAATTAACTCCATACGCCTCAGATAATTTGTAGTATCGAGTAACCAATGCGGTTACGAAGATATCGGGTGGTAAGACGTATCGTTTTCCCTTCATTCCGCTTAAATCAATGCTAAATGGTCTAAAGTTTGAATTTCGCCACAGTCTGAGTGGGAATTCATGAAATGTGCGATAACTATTCTTGGAATAATAAAATTACAGCTTGTCACTGCTAACTTAATTTCGCTTCTGGAAAAAATCTTTGTTCAGCACTATTCGGCTAACTTTTCCGTTATACAGTCAAACGAAAGCGTTTTATTTGTTTCTTAGCTGTTTATCGACGTGAGCAACTAGACGTGTCTTTAAATTTCGAAAGTGATTTGTTAAATCGAGTTTTTCCTGGCCGAAATAAGTCTCTAAAGCGCCGTCACTGGTCGCCATCTGCCCACCGTTGCTATATTAGCTGTCGTAATATTTCCATGACAAGTTGGACGATATTGTGTAGTGAAATCGTCAATGTTTCTTTTGCCGATTGGCTTTCTTCTTAAGCAGTTGCTGCTAGTTTCGGGTGCTTTTGATGACACGATGGCGGGAGACCAACGCCTCAAAATTCATCAAAAAACTTCGCTGCTCAGACTAACACTCTGAAAACTGTACTTAACGATTTGAGCTGTTGATCCATGCACAAAAACAGACACAAAAAGAATAATAATTAAGCCTATATATATTATATTTTCTAACGAGAAGTGCAAAGTGGTGTTGACCGTAATATTTTTTTTTTCCTTCGCTTGGTGAATTTTCAAGATTGACGAGTGGAAACTAAGATTAGTGTTATTATACCGAATAAAAAAGGCTTTAAAAGTATTTGAAGTGTACACTGCTAACTAATTAAATTATGCTGAAAGACATGTATAGTTTTCCCAAGAGCTTAGTTCCTTATCCAAAGTGGTGACGCATTTCTTGAAGGAAAGTGCGTATATCACTTCATAACAGAGCTATCTGTTTCTAAAAGAACCTGCTGTACTACATCGGCAGAAGGGGAAGCACTTGGCAGATTATCTGTTTGAAGTCAACAAATAAGATAGAAATAAACCACTGCAATTTTCAAATCTTTGAAATTGCGGCTTCAACCGCCCGGAATAACTTTTGTTAGAACATAGCTAGCAGAACCGCGCAATGAAATTCAATATTTGTAAGCGTGCTCAAAATCCTGATAGTGCACGCTGACAGCGTCAGCAAATCGCTTCGCCAGAAATTTTTTTTTCGCGCGAGCGGCCGATTGAAAAATAATATATTTCGCGACAATAATGGATACAAACAGAAACTCGGCCTACTAGTCCGAAAACGAAGACAATGTTTCGACCTTTTCCCTTGGGCTAGAGTTCTTAAATGAGGCAGAAAAAGAGAAAAACAAAGGAAAAGGAGACTCGGCATCAGCGCCGTCACGATTCGCTTCAACTGATATTGTTGTCCATTTTTCCCGTCGGATTTGATGCACAATTCTACCGGCTATGTTCTAAAACAATTGGTTCATGCTTTCAGCTGTGCACTATCGAGTTATGGAGCACGTGGGAAGTTTGGAGAGCACTCAAGAAGCTAGAGTTGCCCTCGGCTATCGCCTCGGGCAACTCTTACGCTTCTTTCGTGCTCTCCAAACTTCCCGCGTGCTCCATAACTCGATAGTGCACGCTAAAGCATGAACCAATTGTTAATTGATGAGAAGAGTTAAAAACAAATGAACATAAAAATATACATTGACAACGCGTCTTTTTTCATTTAACAAAATATTTTAAAGCTATCCTGAATTTTAATGAATTTCTTTCCTTCACCATGAATTGTGTGATAAACAAAAATGATAATAAGTCACCGGTTATTTTTTAACGTATGATTAATTATTGAGGTACTCAATCCACGCGTCAAAAATTGAGGTTGACGAGGTAGATTTGGTGTATTATTTCGGCCGCTTTTTGTGCATTGTTGGGTGGAACTTGAATAACATGTTGCCAGGCTGTTCTAGAAGCTCGCCGAAACCACAACATATTTTAAAATTTCTACTTTCCTTAACCAGTATCTAACCTATTCTGAATAAAAACATTATTGGGACGAGATTAGTCAGATGTACTGAGCTGCGATTAAAAGTTGCCTATGTACGGTTATGACGGCGGCGCAAAGTAGGTGTCAAACTGAAAAATAATTCTTTTATCGTAAAGAACCATTGAAAAAGGAAAACTTGTGTGTTCTGTTCTAATAAAGGATTGATATAAATGTGCAAAACAACAAACTCCTCAAACGACGGTTTCGTAAACATATGAGCTCAGCAATTTGTGCTAAGCATAATTAACTTTACAGCTGTTATGCTATTATTACAAAGTGCGACAGAACACACCTCTAAGCCAGCTTAGGCGCAGCCATTTGTAAAAAGAAACAAAATCTTT